TAGATACGGTGTGGATGCCATTGATTAGATCAAAGTCCGGTTTTGATGGCTTCGGGATAGACGCAAATGTCTGTCTGGCGTTGCTTGACATATACTGGAACTGGTTACAGCCACTGCACAACTGTGTCTATCGACCGTGTGTCATGATGGATATGGCGATTGGAGGCCCCTACTATTCCGACTTTCTTCTAATGTCCATCTTCGCTCTGTCAGCACGGCATTTATCCGAACAGGACAGGGCATTTGCAAGCGTGGGAAAGGGGGAATATTTTCTGTCGCGTGCGAGAGAGCTGCTCCTTGACGAAATGAGCAGCTCCAAGTCAAAAATTCCGACAATCCAAGGCCTGCTCATCCTAGGAGGCCGGCAGTGTGCCATTGACAAGAGTTCCGAGGGCTGGCTTTATACCGGTATGGCAATCAGAATGCTACTCGACTTAGGCCTCCATCTGCACTCGGGAAATTCATACTTGGCAGATTTGGAGCGATTGACAGCGACCGAAGTCGAGGTACATCGACGACTCTATAATTCTGCTTATATATGGGACAAGACACTGAGCCTTGCGCTGGGTCGCCCACCGTCCCTGACTTGGGCGCCACATGGCTCAAACGAAATTTGTATGTCAAGGAAGCCATACTCTGTAGTCATTCATCTTGAAAGCGGCTAAAATCTGCAGTGGATCATTACGATGATACTATAGAGTGGAAGACAGTCTATGCTCCAGAAATCTCCCAAGGGTATCAAGCGCTACCTTCGTACAACACCATGGCGTTCTGTGCACACAGTCATCTACACAAGGTACGCGCAATCTATGACCAATGGTAGCCTTTCCTGACCTCAGACAGATTACAACTGATATGATGCTGCTCTTTTCAAATATGTCCTTCTGCCAGAACTTGACTGCAGAGATTAGTAGTTTGGATGGCCGCTTTGCAAGATGGTATGCCGATATTCCCGCAGAGCTTCGAATGGATGATATTTCCAACCTTTCTCAAAGTCCTCCACCACACATCGTCTCACTCAAGTAAGGCATCATCTCTCCCCTGGATTAGGCATTATTAACCACCGCAGCCTCCTCTATCATGCGCTCTATATCCTTCTCTATCGCCCCAGCCTAAACTCTCCGGATGCCTCTGTCCGATCCTCAGGCGCAAATACTTGCATATCACATTCAAAACACATTCACACTATCTTTTCTCTTTACGGACGAACTTTTCCAAACCGCCTCATGACCTATCAGGTCAGCTACTGTGTATTCACCGCTGCTTCGGTAGATATCTACTCTATGAAGACGTCGTGCGTGGATGGAGTTACCGAAGCAGTGACCCGACTTGGGGATGCAATTCGAGTTCTTCAGAACGAAGCAAAACACACACCTGGCATTGCTAGATCATTGGATACTATACGGCGATAATTGGCTACTTGGAAGCCTGGCACTAAAATATCCTCGGGCGAAGCCATGAATCCATTCCACCACCCTCAACGCACTACGGGTACTGAAACTGAGGATTCACAGATGGAACAGAACAATGATTTCGATAACGTGATGGATGGGGCGTTGCTTAGAAAAGAGCCGCAAGTACACACTTCAGTAATGTCGCAGGATTCTAGTTCTCATCTGCTGGAGAACGTTCCTATCTCCATGCCCAGCATGGGGCCTACACTTGGTGGCGTTGATACTGGGGCTGGCTTTCATCCGGATGTGTTTCCTTGGGGCTTGACAGATTTCCTAGACAAGGATGGCAGCCTCGATGCGGTGTGGGGGCAAAATTTAGCAGCTAACAGCACATTTTACTAATTTTTTATTGTTGAATTCATTACTCGGTCGGTATCTTCGTCGAATGCCGACAAGTGGTTCGGCATCTTGCCGACAGCAAGTGTGGGATGCAGCCGGCTTTGTAGAGCCGCGCACAAAGGCTGGGTCAATCATTCACTTCTAACCCGTACTAATGGCAAGAATATTTATACGAGGGAATATAGCTATAGAATTGTAATGTAGAGGGATATCAAAGCCCCATCTAACTATATACATCATGTATCGTTCATTACGGCCCACTGCTCTCCTGTTGCTCCTTTGTTACTATTTCTCTCATTCCTTTGCTATTAGCAAGTCACCTCAACCTATTCCAAGTCTTCTAGTTGGTCCATCAATTGTTGATGTGCCAGCAAGCATCCGGAATGTTTTTTGCGGCACAGAACTTTAATCGCAATGTAACTGTTCCATGGTGGGAGACACAAATTCTTAATGCAGATAATCATGCCGTAGAAGAAACCCTGCGCATGCTGGGTGACGCATCATTTATTGTCTTGAATGCAGAAATGTACAAGGTTGGTTTTTGCAGAGCCACAGAAAGTACGCGACTAACGCTCTACAGCTCCTCAACGTGACAGGCTACGCAGACACTAAGACTGTCGAGAAACTTTTCATATTTCCCCCAGGCCCGCCATTTGCCGACCGCATGGTTCATGATGGCACCGTCTACTCGCCAGAATGCAATTGCATCTACTTTGCCGAGCTGCACCCTCCCAAACCAGGTTTCTCTACTGATGCAGTACCCTGGGTATGGCGAGTGAACCTCAATGGCTCCGCCCCTGTTACCGAGAAAGTCTACCCGAAACCGCAATTGACTGTTCCAAATGGAGCATACTATCATGATGGGAGCGTTTATTGGGCACAGGAAGGAAATTACACTCACCCGGGCGGGATTGTCCGTATGAATCCATTGACGCTCGAAACAGAGGTGGTGCTTAACAACTTCCTTGGCCACCGTTTCAATTCGCCTAACGACGTTGTCATCACACGTGGAAGAGTCGCATTCTTCACTGATGGGTACTATGGATTTGATAACTTCAACGATACCCTCAAGCCAGAGCTTGCCAATGGCATTTGGCGGTGGGACATGAGCAGTGGCGATGTGCGAATGGTTGCTGGTGAGGGTACCGGGATATGGCTCAACCCCAATGGCGTTGCGCTTAATAAAGCAGAAGATAAACTGTACGCGACTGCCCGAGGCAAAACCTCAGATGACGCTGCTGGCCAGAGGACAATTTATGTGTTCGATATCGCGACCCCTAATGCCCTAGGGCCGAGGCTGCGAGACGGGATGCCATTAGCGTATGTGGACACCGGATTTCCAGACGGTATCAAGCTCGATGCCGAGGGGAGAATATATGGCGGTGTCACGGGTGGTGTAGATGTTTACAGCCCACAAGGCGAGCTCCTGGGTAAGATCAAAATTGACAAGGGCGATGTGGCCGTAAACATGCAGTGGGTTGGCGATCGGTTGTACATTGCTGCTCGAGATGCGCTTTATCGCGTTCAACTTGGCTGCACGAGTGTCCAGCACTATCCGTGACCACTGCTGCTACAGCCTATGCTCAGGTCGATTTTTTGATCCGCAGACGTAGTTTAGATATACTTTATGGTCACCAGGTTCTCTGGGGTATGGAACTCGGGACATTGGTGCATTTTATAAATGCTAATATGAATTCTGCCAAAAAAGAACATTTGTAATTCTCCATTGCTGTATAGTCTATTGCTTCACACACTACCCGATATTGTTCTCTGAGCTCTCGGGTCTGAGCAACCAAATTGGTCTTCCATTGTATGCCTGTCAATTTTAGCATGCGCAGTCTGTAATAGTGGGGTGCTGCCTATCATCGGCGACACTTGTGCTCTTCAAGTTCACGTCTTATATTTCTCCAGTGCCCAGAGCTCAATGATCTACCAGAGTGCGTGCACTCCAGGGGGATAACAAAGGAATTTCTTCTTTTCGACGATTGTAAGATATTTATAATACATGTGAAGTGAAAGGGATGAAGGAAGAAAGAAAGGAGGTCTTGTATACAATACACTCACCGAGTCAGATTCCAATATTCCATGCGTACCCTGTAGATTGACAAAATCGGCATTCCCAAACTCACTCAAATATTTGCCTTCCTTTGTATGGTGTGCGAGGCTGGAATAAGGCATGCGGTCTTCAAGCGGCACCGAAGGTTATTTCACTGATGCCCCCTTATGGGTATCCTATTTTCTTTCTAAAACAACAGAAACAGCTCTCAAGTCATGAAAGACTAGATGCCAGCTTGGCCAGAATGGTGAGACAGCATGTTGAATCTGCACATGCTCATTATGAAATCTTCTTCTTCGAGTTCGGTCCTTAACGTTAACTTCTTGTAGTGTAGATTTTTAAGCAATGAAAGATTGCATGAGATATGGAAGACAATTCGAGCATGCTTCAAGTCATAGCTATCATTATCTAGTTGGTATGATCTCATGCATAAGTTACATGTAGAGAACGTAAGCTACTTTCAAAACTCTGATTGACAAAGGTGTCTTTTGAACAATAAGCTTCTTTCTGCATTCAAACTTATTTTTCAGTAACATAGCCAAGGAGAAATCCTGATCAATCCTATCATTAACAGTGAATATCTTTTCTGTCGCCTAATATTTGCTCCACTTGCATTTAGCTATAGCCACTGCTCAGCGCGCTTCCATGGCTAAGTATACAGCACATTGAGACTGAGGTTTAATGACGGCCACCTGTTCGCCAAACCAAGATATTTGCGGCCCGAAGAACTACCACATAATTTCTTTACAGGATCGCTACTGCATTCGAGGGACTGGCAACGCCACCAGGAACGTTCAATGGGACACTAACCACGAAGAAAGTCCACTTCCCTCTGTTTCTGCAGAGCCTTTCTAGTTCTTCTAAATCGAAGCTTTCACCAATTGGTAGTCCCCAGCCACTGAGAAACACTTCGTGCATGGTCACTCCCCATGTCTGTGGACTTGGCCAGGCTTCATATGCCCCAGTATCACTTGCTACAGCAGCAAAGGCGTTATCCCAGTGCCAGCGGATGCTCTCTTCGCTAGCTTCCAGACAAATAGAGGACCGTACAGCGCGGTAAGGGAGGTCAGCTTGCTCGTCTTTGCTTAGGGATCTGAAATCTGCCAACCAGCCTGTGCGTAAAAACAATATATCACCTCGGTGAAATGATACTCCTTGGCAAGAGGCAACAGAGACAAGCTGGGAGAGAGGGATGGAGTATGTGGAGAAGCTGGCATATTGGATCCCTTGTGAATTAGCCCATGAGGCCCAATCCAGGAGAACACCTCGGCCTGTGATGGGGTTTTTGGCAATATCTAGTTATTCGTTGAGAACTTGGTGTCTAGGTTAACGAAGTAGTAGGCTTACTCTGTATTCCTATCCGATGATTTGCTGATGGACCAGATATGTCTTCTTGTCTTATACCGTTGTAGTACTGTAGAGACCGCTGGTAAGGGTAATGTCTCAACTCAACCCAATGGCTGGCCCCTTGTGTGTTGGCCCCTTGTGTGTTGATATGCAGCTGGGAGATGATTAGAGACGCCAAACGATGCTGTGGAGAGAAGATATACCTCGTTATCATTGGCACTACCTTTTACCTTGATACGATGGTCACATGGCTTCCGGGCGGGGTTCATAGGTTGGATAAATGCATTCATCGCGAGACTAGCTTGGTTAGAACTTCCAGCATTGCCTGAGGGAAAAGACTCACTTCAGAGGAACTCTATCGCCACTCATGATTTCGCGCAATGCTTCTTGTACTCTTTCAGTAGTTAACATATTCAATGTACCGAGCTCATCATCCTTACCCCACAAGCCCCATGCTGAAGCTTTTGGATGGCTTGGGTGCAGAGGAAGCTCGTCAAAGTTTGAATGAGAGGGAGAATCGGCTACAGAACCCATATTAAGAGATATCATGTATTTTAAAAATATCCATCGAATGTGTTTTGAAGTTTAGGCCAAGTGGCTTGTTGAAGTAGTTGGGTAATCCGGGAAGATGCCGAGCAGTGTATTTGCTGTCCCAACTCATCCGGAATGATGCCGAGGAGCCCGAAATACGCGACTAAAATGGAGATAGCCTATACGCACTTGGCCGATGTGGAAAGAAAGAAAGAAAGAGGACGAATACAATGTGTAAAGTGATCTAACGATTTGCGCAAACAATCCTCACTTAACACCGTGATCCAAGACTTCTTATACAACTATATCCATGGTTGTTGCTATTCTCTAAGATTTGAGGTTGGAGAGTTCCCTTTCGTATTTAATTCACATCTTTTGCAGATGTGAGATACACATAGTGGCCTGTAGTTCGTCTAGTGTGAAATGTGTACCAATGAGTATGAAGCAGAGACAAATTGGCTTGATTGACGTCAACTATACTAACTTCTATTTTCTCCCTGGCTTCCATATGTCATGCTTTACCAAGTTTGACATAGCAGATAGCTTAAAGAATGTAGCGATACATTGGGTGATCATCGCCGGCATCCTCTACCTCGATTGGCATAGTGTTTGGATCTCCTTTCCCATACTTCTTGTCGCGCTGTTTGTTCTGCCACCGCAAACTAAAACTGAGAGTCATTGCAACCACCGCTGCTCCAAGGAGCATACCAGCACAAATCCACATGCCCTTTGAATACCACGGCTCATCTGTCTTCGGGAACAGTCTAGATCCCAGAATCGGGCCGCATTGCCCGATCATGCCGAAAATAGCCAGACCAGCTCCTCTCTTAGAGGCTGAGCCTTGGTTGTCTGTGACCCAGGTGAATGTGAGGGCGACAGCCGGAAAGACTCCCGCACATACGAGGAATGTAGCAAAGAATCTCACTCCTGTGGCATGAACAGTGGCTAAGAGAATGTAGCCCAAAGCCCCCATACAGCAAAAGAAGATAATGAATATTCCTCTAGCCCTCACTTTGTCTGATAAGAAGCTGGCAGAGACGCAAACGACATATGCAGCTATGTAGGGGCAAGCGGAGAGGCCTTGGGCATTCAGGGAAGTGTAGCCCATGGAGGTTAGTATTGTAGGTAGATAAGCAGGCAGAGATCCAAAAGCCGTGTTGAGACAGAAGCTAATGGTAGCCTGAGCGTAATTCTTATAGTCATAAAAAGCAGCAAATACCTGCTTGAAGTTGATGGTATTTTGTCTCCTTATACCGCGGCCTCTGATTGCTCGCTGGCTGATGATTTTGTTCTCTTGATCCGTGAGAAATCTGCATTGGGAAGGGGAGGCAGGAAGGAAGAAGTAAGGGATTACTGCGAGAATAATAGAAGGGCCACCCTCTGATTGCCATTAGTAATAAATCAATACGAAACGGATGGTATTGCGTAGATGATTGATCTTACCAATAATAAATAGTAGTTGCCAATTCTCAACATGAGTTTTGGCATGTACAATGCCATATGCCATCGCAGACGAAAAGCAGCTCGCAAGAGGTGAGAAAGATATAAAGAGACCATACCGTAATGCCATCTCTCCCCGGTGATAGAAAAATGTCATATATAAGGCCACAGCAGGCACAAAGCCAGCTTCAAATGCACCGATTAGAAAGCGCAGAGTGAGGAGGCCAGCAAAGTTGCGGTGTGCAGCTTGCAGCATGCTCATTGAGCCCCAACCGATGGCCATAGACGCAGTCCAAAGTGGAAGTGGTACAACGGTCCATAGCAGAATCAGCTGAGAACAATGTTAACAGAAGTATCGTAGACTAAAGAGCCGTATGCATACCCAGTGAAAACTGATATGTCCAATGTACAAGGTAGTAATCACCCAGCTGTAATCATTTGAGGTGATACCCCATTTCTCGCCCATACCTGCTATATAGGCATTCCCAATGTTGCCTCGGTCAATGTATGAAACGAGATACAATATGCCAAGCCTAAAAAGCAGTCAGTTAGTTGTACTAATTGGAAAGATTAAAAGCATTGAGCCAATCTTATGGGACATATAGGGAAAGCTTTAGAGAGAACAAACAATGGTATCAAGTTCCAATCAAGCTTTCTCAACGCGCGCTTCTCCTCTTCCGATTACCAGGTCTCTCCCATTTGTTCTATACCATGTTCTTCGTCAACAAATATATTATGCAATTTCATTGCTGTAGAGTTTCCCTCTTCAATGGGAGACGAATCAGCATTTTTTTTGGTTGTCGAAAATTTGATCTCCCATCTTGGTCAGAAATATACCGTGGGCTCACGACGGTATAGAGGCAATAAGCAGGTGCGATCCCAGCGGCTTCGGCCGATTTATATATGTTTCATGATTAATCGAAACTGCCAATCCCTGACCGAGAGTTGTTAATACAATGACGTTTGGTAGATCCGTCAAGAAGCCGAAGATCGTGGGGTAACCGATTCTGGGGTCCGGGGATGTGGGGTCGGTATCTACGCCGAATATTTTCGGGATGTTTGCCGATTGCTCCAGCCACTTCCTTGCGCCCGAAAAACCGTTCCTAACTCAGTGACTGGGCAGGCAAGTATTTATTCCAAACTCTTTCATAAAATCCATATCTCAGTAGGACAAGCATTCAGGTTACCCAATCCCTGTATTGCCATTTACGACCTGACTAGTTCGTTGCGCGGTAGAGTCAACATGGCAAACCCCGAATTCACCATTCTTACACCTAATGCCATGCTTGACTATGGCTACAACTCGGACCACTTTTGGTACGGTATCGAGAAATACAGGCCCGCAGCCATCATCGTTGATAGCGGTTCAACAGATGGGGGGCCGTACAAGTTGGGCATGAAAAAAACGACCTGTGGCAGAGGATCATATGTCCGTGACCTTGAACCAATTCTTGCGGCTCCGTCTCCATGGGGCTTAATAGGTGGCCTCCATGAGACATTAGACGGATATGTACGGATCCACGACTCGTTCCCAAACCACGCGGAGGGAGCTTTAGCGCTATTGGGATTACCCAAAGGCGCATCACGGCAGCAAGTCTCACAAGAAACCGCAAAATAGGCAAGTATTAACCTTGAGTCAGTTGGTACCCTTGATTTGTTTGTTGTTTGTTTTATTATTAACGTCCACTAAGTAAGCTAGTTACATAAGTCCTCATCTAGGTACTAGGACGGTAGGAGCCGCTGAGTTTAAATCAGGCGTTTACTATGTTTTAATATAATAAAGGAAATAGGGGAATATTAATTTATTTTATATATTTATTTTTATAAAAGGGGGGCTATATAAGTTTATTTCCTTTACTAGTTTTTAAAAGTCCTTATACTTTTTATTATTAAGGAGGTATTAAATATAGGTAATTTTAAAGTATACTTTTTTTTTTAATATATTAAGGAAAAAAAAAGCTATTATATAATATTTTATAAAATACTTTTATATCTTAAGCTTATTATATTTATAAATAAGTTTAATATTATATTTAACTTTTTTATAATATTTTATAAAATTTATATATTTAAACTTTTTAATTAATAACCTATATAAAATTAAGTATAAAAAATATAACTCCAGGGGTATAAAAAGGGTTTAATAAAGGTTTTATTTACTAGCTTTATAAAACTTTAGGTAATTATTATTTTAGTTATTATTTTATATTTTTTTATATTTTTTTTTATTTACTTTTTAATAAAAGTAATAATAAAGTAGTTTTTTAAGTAGTAAAGGAGTTTTAAACCTTTTTTTATTAATTAATTAGCTTTTTTATTTTTTAGTATATTTTTATAGCTTAGGACTTAGGTAACTTTTATAATTATTTATAAAAATAATCTTTAGGTAATTTAGTATAACCTTATATAAGCTCCTTAAGATAAAGTAAAAGTTAATTTTAGAATTTTATTTACTATTACTAAATTATTTAGGAAAAGTAAAAATTTTTAAATATTTAAGTTTATAAAAGTATATATTTTAGTTAGCTTTATAACTTTAAAAATATCTATTACTTTAGTATTATAAACCTTTATATTAATAAAAAAGCTATATATTATAGTTTTTTTAAAATTATAATATATAATAGCTTTTTATTTAATATTACTTTATTTATTTTATAATTTATTTAAGTAAGTAAAAAAAGTAAACCTAAGGAAATTATTAAATAATTCTAAGTATTTTTTTATTATCTTTAACTTTAATAAACCTTTAAAATCTAGGCTTACTTAAACTATTTTATTATTTTTAGTAAATAAAAAAAGTTAAATTATTTTCCTTACTAAAGTTATAATATATTATAGTTAAGTAAGGGGAACTTTAAAGGGGAGTTTTTTATTAATATATTTATTAATTAAGTAATTCCTATTTAAACCTATAAAGTAAGCTATTATATAAAGTTTAGTTTATACTACTTATATTAATACTAAAAGGACTTTTAATTTTCTATATATAATAAAAAAGCTAGTTATCTTTTATATAAAGGTAATTACTTTAGCTACTACTTTAAATAAAAGTTTTAAAATTATAGTTAATTTTACTAAGCCTATTCCTACTTATTTATTTAAGTTTATTATATTTTATTTACTTTTACTAAGCTAAAAAGCCTTTATTTTATATAAAATTATAAAGGTAACGTAAGCTTTAATTACTATAGTTACTATATTTAATAAAAATCTTTTTTATATTTTATTTAAAAATCTTAAAAAATTAACTACTTTAAGGGCTTTTTTTTTTTATAATTTTAAGGTATTTTTTAAAAAAAAGCTATAAGTTTAGGTATATCCTTAGTTATTAAACTAAGTCTTAGGGGGCTATAATTTTTCCTTTAAAATCTACTTTTTTATTATATACTTAGGTTTTAATCTTATAAAAATATATAAGTTTAATTTTATTTAAGTTAAAGAAAACTATATTTTTATTACCTTAGTTTAAAATATTTTTTAATTTTTACTAAAGCTTTTAAATAATTTCCTTAGTATTAGCCCCTACTACTATAATATTAATATTATTTATATACTTAAAGTAAGTATTAAGGTTATTAAGCTTTAAGCTAGGGGAGAAGTAAAATATAAAAATAATAAAGGAAATAAAAGACCTTTATAAAGCTTTATATTCTAGCTTTATTTTTAAAAAGGTAATCCTATAGCTATTTTAAATAAAAGCTTTATAATTATTTATAAAAAAGTTAACTTATTTTATAAAAAAAGAAAGTTATTTTTATTTTCTAAGTTTATATACTAAGTAATTATATATAATAATATTAAATATACTAAAAATATTAAGTATAAAAAAAAAGATAATAAAGCCTTAGGTTAAAGTAACTTTAGTATTATATAGTAGGTAGGTAATTAAGTTTATTATAAACCTTTTTAAAAAAGCTTTAAAATATTATTTTAGTAGTATTTTATATTTTATTATTAAAAAAGAGATTTTTTTAATTAAAAGTCTTTTAAAGCTTTTACTTATATAAAAGAGTAGAAAAATAGATTTATAGTTTTTATATATAATATATACTTTCTTTAACTTCCTTAGTTTAAGAATAATAATAATTTTTATACTTTAAAAAAGAAATAAGTAATACCTTATTATTAAGTATCTATAGAAAATATTAGTTATATATTTACTAATAATAAATTAAGTAAGTTATAAAAGGGTAATAAAAATACTATTTATACTAAGTATAATATTCCCTAACTTTATTATAGCTTTTTTAATTTTTAATTTTAATACTATTTAATTTTAGTAAATATTTTTATTAATAAAAAAGTTCTTTTCCTATAGGTTTAAAATATTCTCCTTTATTATTTTATACTTAAGGAATTTATTTTTAAAAAGAATTACTTTTTTTATAAAGTTTAAAATACTTTTATTTTTATTTATTAAGGGGGGTAGTTAAAAGTAATCTATTACCTTATATTATTTAATTATTAATTAAATATTTCTAATAGTATTAGCTTTTACTATAATTTTATTTTAGTAAGCTTACTTACTATGGTATATAGTATTTTTAAAGGTTTTATAAGCTCCTTTTTAAGTAAAAGAGCTATTTACTATTTCTTTATAAACTTTATAAATTACTTTATACTTTTCTAATTACTATAATATACTATAGCTATTTTAGTATTTAATTTTACTAACCCCCTTTATAGCTTACTTAAAGAGGTTTTATAAGGCCTTAGTATATTTATTAAGGTTAGTTTTTAATAGTATAATTAAGTTAACCATAAGAAAGGTTTAAGTAAAAGAGTATATAAGTTAACTAAAGTCTTTTTAATATTTTAATAAGATATATTTTTTCCCTACCCCTAGGGTTATCTTAAGGGGCTTAGGCAGGTTTATAATTACTATATAGTAATTTAACCTTATATTAAGGAAGTATTTAGCCTTAGTTAACGTAGGGTAGTTTATAAAGACTAGGTTAATATATTTTCCTAAGTGTTAGGTAAGTGTATAATAAACCGGGGCCTATAGGTTAATATAGGTTAGCTGTTTCCTAAGGGATAAACCTTAGAGTAGTTCTATAGTTTATATTAGTAAAGCGGTTAGGTTAGTAAATAGGTAATTTTATTACTAGTTAGTAATATAAATAAAAGTAAATATCTAGGTTTTAATTTAATTATATTATAAACGCTGTAATAATAACTAGTTATTTAAGTATTTTAATAAGTAATATAAAGTAAACTTATATATTAATTATATATTCTAAATTATATTAGAAAGCTAGCTTTTTTAGTTTTCTTATAGTAGATTATTTAAAAAGCTAGCTTTTTTAGTTTTTTTATTAAGGTAGGCTAATAGTTTTAATTAATTTATTAGCCTATAGTTAATTTAGTTTTAGTTAATTTATTAGCTTATTATTATAACTTTAAAAGTTCGGTTATAATATAATTCTTCTCTTTTTATTAGTTTTATTTTTAAAACCTAATTAAGGTAGTATATAAGTATTTACTTTTATTTTATTAGTAAAAACTCTAATCTTTTTTTTTTTTATTTATTTTTATTTTTATTTCTTTATTATAACTAATTATAAGCGTAAGTATAATAATAAACTTATTTTTAAGTAAAAAAAAAAAAAGTATAAAGGCTTTACTAATATTATACTAAAGAATTTTATTTTTATTATAAAATTATATATTTATTATAAAAAGTAAAGCTATAATTATATTACCTTAGAAAAAGATTTCTGTAAGTTTTTTTTTTATGTTTATAATTAAAAATTTTATTATAAAGTATTTAGTTTTACTTTATAATAAATACGTAAGGTAGTAATTTATTATTTAAAATTAAATAAGGAACTTAAAGAAGCAGAAGAAATATAGCTTAAGGCTAGTACTTAAGTAAAATATCTTTATATTTAAAAACATAAGTAGTTAAAGTAAATAAAGCGGGCTATTACTTATAATATTAATAATTTAAAGGAATTAAAGTATATTAAATATAAGGAGTAAGAAGTATAAGAAGTAAAGGTAGTTTATTAAGCTAATATATTATTACTTAATTTATTTAGTTTTATAACTTAAGGTTTTATAGTTAATACTATTAATTAAAATATTTTTAACTTTTTTTTATTAAACTTAGACTTTAGTAAAAGTTATTTATAAGGTTTTTTAAGTATTAAAAGTTTTTAATAATTTACTATAAGTTTTTTATTTTATTATAACTTTTTTATTTTATTAAATATTTAGTTTATTAAGTATTTTTATTAAATTTTATTATTTTAAGTTTCTTAACCTTATATTTAAGTTTTTTATTTTAAATAATAATCTTATTTTATATAACTTTATTTATTTTTTTATTTACTAATACTTTTTTTAATAGTAAAATATAAAAATTTAAATATATAGTTTTTTTTTATTTTCCTAGGGTAAGTAAAAGATTTATTTTATAATTAATAGATTTAATTTTCTTTATAACTTTATAAAGTTTAAGTTTTTTAAAATTAAGTTTATTATTTAGTTTATTTATTTTAATATTTAGCTATTTATTATTTTATAAGTATTAAAGTAGGTAGACTATATTTCCCTTTTTAAAAGTTAATCCTTTAATTCTTTTAATATTTATAAATTTAATTATTTTTT